AATTATTTTATACTGATAGATTGTCATCTGTAAAGTAGAACTCTAAATATTTTCCCTATGGAGGAGGCAAAAACGAATACAGTTTTTGGATTACAAACAGAATACTGTTTGCAGTAACAAGCAGAATGCCCATTCATTTTTTCTTTCTACAGAGATCTCACAGTTTACCTACAAGAGTTCCCTTGGAAAGCACTGGTGATGTACCATTCCCAGGGGACAGCTGTGAGGGCTAGGCCAGTGCCTATCGAATACTAGGAAGAGGGGGGCAAAATGTAAGTTGACATTAATTGCTTTCATTTCACATATCACTCAAATATGTGATTAGCATGCAGAGCTGCATGCCCAGGGCATTTATGTGTTTAGGAGGGAAAGGTCTGCTTTAGGCAATGGAGGGACCGATGGGTGCACCATTGTTGGGCTGTGCTAAGGCCATTGCTTGCTCTTAATCTGGCTCTGATAAAACCAACAAACAGTGCAACCGTTCCAGTGCATTTGTATTTTGATTCGGTTTTATGTGTTCCAGTGCATTCCAGACCAGACAAAATAAGACAAGCAGTATTTTTATGGTCTGGTCTGGTCTGGTCTGGAATGGACTGCGCTGTTGTGAACAGAGGCCGGAAATAGCATAGGAATACATTAGGATGCATTTTGGGTCTGGAAACAACCTGGTCTGGTCTGGATATGATCCGGACATGGTGTGAATGTGCCCTAAAGGTTACCTTTGTCGTAATTTTTTAAGGATAATGGCGACGTTCCTCTTTAAATTGATCACATTCCCATATATAAAATACAGATAACATATATTTAGTATGCCCTTATTTAGTAAACCGTTTTTGCTACATTAATATGGGCAGACATGCACAGATCCAGACTGGCATGTATCTGAATTAACGTTGACAGGCACAACATGATGCTGTATCAAGCCCATACGCCGACAATTACATCTGTACAGACAGCTAAATGTACTCTGTCCTCCAACAAACAGCTGGAAGTTTATATATCCATTTGTGCCTTCCTGCTGCTGAGTCTGAGTGTGGTTGTGTGCTGCTGAGGCAAGGTGTGTGGTTGTGTATTGCTGAATAAGGCAGCGTGGTTGTGCTGCTGAGTAAGGTTGAGTGGTTGTGTGCTGCTGATTTAAGATGTGTAACATTCTCTGTGATCTCACAATACATTGTGGGTTCTGTTTATGAAGATGTGACACAAAATGCAGTTACCTTAATGAATAAGGTCAGTGCATAAGAAGCAGATAGATGGATGGATGGATAGATAGATAGATAGATAATAGCAAGGGCATTATTTATTACATTCAGTCCCTCCTTGTCCACATATGCTTAAAGGAGAACTATGGGGTCAGGGCTTGTCCCGATAGTTCTCCTTAGGGTAACGGGAGGACACAAACTAGCGTCCTCCCGTCACCCTAAGCTCAGTATACCGCGAGGTACAGCTCGCGGTATACTGAGACGCCGGAGCGGATCCCGACATCGATGTCGAGATATGCCCAGCTGCGTGAGTGACAGCTGGCTCTGCCTATCTAGAGGCAGAGCCAGCTGTACCCGCCCCCTCCACCGTCCGTTCCACCAGTCAGCGCTGGTGGATCGGAGCGGGGAGAGGGGAATCCATCCCCTCCTCTGTCACGGCAGAGAGCCGTGACAGGATCGAGAAGTGAGCGAACCCGGTATGTGTTCGCTCACCTCCCAATGTACTGAGCCGACCTGTGACAGTCTCATTGTCACAGGTCAGCTAGAACTATGAGGTGACTGAAAAGCACTCATCTCATAGTTCTCCTTAAAAGGGTTAGTCCACACAAAAGTGATATTTTGGTTAGAGATGGAGCCTGCCGGACTGAGAGAGCCCCTGGCGTCTTATATGTCTGGGGTGCTCCAATATCAAGATCTCCCTGCCTAGTTCTCAGTTCTTTTTCTGTATGGGATTTTTGGGTGTTCCTATCCACTTTTGCACGTTTCAGCTCTTCCTGTTACATTCTCCACATTATAAAATACATTACAAATCTAGCAAGGAGCGTAGGAACCCCTGATAGTGGCCACAGCAGGTAAGCAGACTCAAGCATTCAAGATCTCAACAACAGATCCCCTGAAAGATATAAAAAAATGACAGGTGATATGAAGCATGACTGCACCTTTGGTACAGTTACACTTATATTGTACCTTTTCCTGCCCCAAACCCCCTTCTCCTGCCTGACTAGAGCACCTGTGGCCAGACTATGGACTTAAAAGTATTAACATATTCTTAGCAAGCAGCCAATCAACCAAGGAGCCAATCAGGAAGGCGGGAAGCGGGTCATTACTTGCCGCCCAGCTTCCTGATTGCACGGGAAGCTGGCTCCATGTTCCCCTACGGCACTGCCTCTGAAAAGACGTTCTGGTATCAGGGAAGGTATCGGAGCATTTGGACGAGTACAAGTAGTCCCCCAAATACTCGGTATCGGCACCAATACCGATACTAGTATCATTATCTGTGCATCCCTAATTCTGGCTGTAGACAAACTGGCAGCAACTAATTGTCCTGAACTGAACAGAGCAGCTTAATCACTCAGTGGAATGAGGCATTAACCAAAAGATAGGGGGCAGGATTTTTTCCAGTCTCCCCTGCTCTGGTGATCAGACTGATACACTGTAATTTTGTAGTAACCCACAAGTTGAGAGGCTGCAGTAGGGACTGATCTGAGTCAAACATTTGTAAAAACAGCCAAGAACTGAACAGGCACCAGGATTTATATGGTTGTGCCATATCTGAGACCTGGGTCACACCTCAGCAAAGATAGCCACATACTTCTGGAGAGAAAAGCAGATGAAGGCATTGATAGGGGGAATACCAAGACCTCTGTGAGAGGCAATAAATATACGGAATTGTTACACTTAAACATTACTTAGCATGCATACACTTAAAAAACAAATATATCCGATTCCAGGCCCACTTTAACTATGGATGCTAACAGGGCCGGCCTTAGGGGTGTGCTGAGTGCTTCCCATTCATTGACTGCTGAGGCTACTGAAAAAGAAATTGAGGATTTGGTGTCCTCAATTTCTTTTCTATTTTAAAAGGGAAATGTCTGGGGTCTGTTTGGGCCCCTAATACTTCCCAAAGCCCCCCAACAGTAAAAAAATAAATAATAAAATAATAAAAAAAATTAAAACATTATTTTAAAAAAGTGAAAACAAATGGCTTTGAATAAAACTTTTATTTTTATCATACTTTTTAATATGTTTCTTTGCGGCTAATCAAAATAGGAGTCTTTAAATGGTGCGGATATTGGAAACATGGGTGTGGTTATGGGGGTGTGGCCACTAAAGGGTGTGGTCACTGAGGGGGGTGGTCACTGAGGGGCGCTGTAAAGCTTTCTCACACTGGGCACCTAAAGGCCTAAGGCCGGCCCTGCATGCTTATTCACCTTGCCCAGATGCTCTGTTCCTGATCATCAGTTATGTTCTGCTCATGATCATTAACAATAAAACTAATAAGGAACTATGTCACAACCTAGAAATATATTCTGTTTTTAAAATAAATAAAAAGAAAGGTGGAAAAGTTGTAAGTTGATTCTTGCAGAATATTGGAAACTGGAACGTTCGTAATGGGAAAATCCATGTTGCTGCGATGTAGTTAAAACCCCGTTGCCTACGTTTTGTAACACCAGCTGATGTTTTTTACTCATCCCTCCAGTCATATATTTAGCTTTTTTTAATATTAACTCTTTTTTCTCCTTTAGGGTATACCCAATATATAAAACTGTAAAAAACATATTAATTGTATATTGTGATTCTCTGCTATGTGTGTGCGGTGCTCTATAGCATTGTATTATATTTATCTTTTTGAATATTAACCCTTTTCTTCATTTGGTGTACATGGATTATATGAGCTCTTGAAAACGTATTAATCTTACTGCATATACAGTTTACAATTACATATATATTATTATTATCTGCTATGTTAGTGTTGTTTTAATTAGTACAGGTGAAACTCGAATAATTAGAATATCGTGCAAAAGTAATTGCAGTAAGTGCTGCAAAAGGGGCCCAAACCAAGTACTGAGTACATATGCATGCTTGTACTTTTCAGAGGTCCGATATTGTTCTATGTACAATCCTTGTTTTATTGATTGCATGTAATAATCTACTTTTTTGAGGTTGTGGATTTGGGGTTCTTGGGGTTTTCATGAGCTGTAAGCCATAATCATCACAATTATGACAAATCACGGCTTGAATTATCTTGCTTTGCATGTAATGAGTCTCTCTCATATATTAGTTTCACCTTTTAAGTTGCATTAGTGAAATAAATGAACTTTGCACGATATTCTAATTATTCGAGTTTCACCTGTATCATATTATTTTGTCTTATATTTATCTTCTTTGAATCATAACCCTTTTTTTCATTCGGCATACACGGATTACATGACTCATTAAAAATGTATTAATTATACTGCATATACAGTTCACAATTAATCATATATTATAATTCTTTGCTATGTGTGTGTATAGTTTTCTTTCGTAGTGTTTTATTATAATTGTCTTTAGTTATCTTTTTTGAATATTAATCTTCTTCCTTCTGTGTACACAGATTGTATGAGCCTTCAAAAACATATTAATTATCCTGCATACACAGTTTAGAATTATATATATAATTCTCTTCTCTTTGTTTTGTATAACATTGTATAATTTAAAAGATAATGCAAAACATGTGATCAGATAGATAGGAGATACCGAGTTTTGCATTTTGTATGTGAACATTTTTTTTGATTGAGCAACTATGTAGCATGTATGTGTTTGTATGTGTATTGTGCTATACTGCAGGATGTTGACACAACAATGATGAAATGTCTGTAGTTTTTTATTTTTAATATATGTGACACATGCACACAGCCCGCCTCCCCCTTACTTCTGTGTGACACACGGCCCCCTCCCCTCCCCTCTGGTGTGTTACAATCCTGCGGTCTGAGGTTAGGTGATTCAGCTACTAAGGTGTATATATAGTGGAAATAAACAGGAGACATGCATTCAGGAAATTGGAAGGGGAAGGGACTTGTAGCTACAATGGGAATGCTGGTAGTCCTAGTCCTGCTAGGCACCTTGTGTGTCGCAAGTCACTCAGCCCCAACATCCCTTAAGACTCCTATGACTATCGTATTCCCAGGAGAAATCCGCAGCAACTTAACTGACCTGGAGAGTGCTGAGGTGAGACTTGCAACAACTTTCTATATACTTCTACTTACACTTTTGCACCTACCTATCTACATAGCGTGACCCTCTTATAATTTTTAAGCAGGTCTGAATCAGGAAAAAAAATAACCTCACAAATTTCAATGTAATTTCTCAGTACTGTTTAAACTGTGATGTCAATATAATGTAGGTGAGGGTGTAAGTAAAGGCACATCACTTCCAAAGGTGTCAGGTACCAGACGGCAGATCAGCTGCTGCAGTCCTTCTTCAGAGGTGTGTATGTATGCATTGGCACAGACTGACTCTCAGAATATTGATTCCTTCAAGTAAGTTTTGTGTTTAGAATCTACTGTACAGTGTTTGCTTTCATAATTGTGAAAGCTGGGGGAGTGGATAGCGATCTTAGTTGGAGAAAGTATTGGATAAGAATCTTGTTTGGGTTTGGGGAGAAAATGGGGATCTTAGTTGTGGATGGGAATCTTGGTTGGGCTGGGGGAGTGGATAAGGATCTTAGTGAGACGAAGGGTGTGGATGGGGATTTTGTTTGGGATAGAGATGTGGATGGGAATTTTATTTGGATGGAGAGGTGGATAGGGATCTTGGTTGAGCTAGGGGAGTGATAAAGATCCTAGTTAGTTGTGGTGGTTGGATGCAGATTTTGGTTGGGCTGGGGAAGTGGACAGGGATCTTAGTGGGGGTACATTTTTGATGACAATATTGTTTGGGCTGGGAGAGTGAATGGGGATCATAGTTGGAGTGAGTATTGGATACGAATCTTGGTTGGGATTGGGGAGGAAATGTGGATCATAGTTGTGGATGGGAATCTTGGTTGGGCTGGGGGAGTTGATGGGGATGTTAGGTGGATGGAAATCTTGATTGGGCTAGGAGAGTGGATGACGATCTTAGTGAGATGATTGGGGTGGCTGGGGATTTAGGTTGGGCTGAAGATGTGGATGGGAATTTTATTTGGATGGAGAGGTGAATGAGGATCTTGGTTGAGCTGTGGGGAGTGATAAAGATCCTAGTTAGTTGTGAGGGTTGGATGATGATTTTGGTTGGGCTGGGGGAGTGGATGGGAATTTAAGTTTGGCTTGAGCGGGATGGATGATGGGGATCTTGATTTTCAATAAGGAAGTAGATGGGAATCTTGTTTGGAGTTGGAGAGTAGATAGGAGTCACACAACAACTCTATGTCTATGGGTGGACAATAATTACCCTGGCTAGCTTCTGTTGAGAGTTACTTGTAATCAAAAGTTAACTGTCGGAGGCTGACTCATAGACATTAAATTGTCACCTTATATTGCAAAAAAAAAAAAAGATTTAAGAGATTATTACCTAATAGCTAAGGACACAGAACCTGTCCTGATCATTAGTGATCCCAACTGTAAGCCAAATGCATCCTGCATTTTACACACTCACTACTCTCTATACTGTTCTCTTCACATAAAATTGCAGCACTCGGAACATTTTGTTTACCCTAAAGCAGATAGATCATGCCTGCATGTGGTACCAGCATCCAAATTATGTGGTCAGCTATACAAAACAGCTGCAGAGTGGGATACTGATTTAAAGAACGGTCCTGATTTGCATGGGAGTTATGTATAGATGGGATGAATTTATACTGATTTGCATATAATGTTTTAATTTTGAGTTAAGCTGTGACAAAACCTTTAAACTAACTACGACTAAATAACCACCTTTTAACTAACTAACAACTATGAGTGCTCTGAAAACTAAGAGGACAATAAACAGTATGTGTGAAAATTATATACATATACTGCCCAATCTTCTCATCTCCTTGTCTGTCCTCACGTCTTCCGCATTCAGTGTTTGCTTTAGTCACAGTATTTGTTACTTTGCCATCTTTATGCCTACAAAGTTCTTTGTAACTTAAAAACACTCCCATTCTCCACAGAAATATCTAGCGCGATATGGGTACCTTCCATTAGAAAATGGTGAACAACGACACACCTCCATAAAAAAGTCCCTTCTAAAGATGCAGCAAAAGTTGGGGCTTCAAGAAACAGGTGAACTAGACTCAGAAACTATGAAGGCCATAAAGACCCCTCGCTGTGGAGTGCCTGATGTGGGAAAGTTCCAGACATTTGAAGGAGACTTGAAGTGGGATCATAATGATATAACATACAAGTAAGTGTCTTTTTAAAGCAGGAAACCTCGAGTGTGTTAACAGTTTAAAAGGAATGGATAAGGGTTAAAATACTTCACTTTCTTGAAAAGAGGGTGATTGTTGGTTCAAGGACCGCGAGCAACAGCTCGTGTTATACTGAGACGCCACAGTCGGAGCGGATCCCGACATCGATGTCGAGATCTGCCCAGCTGCGTGAGTGACAGCTGGCTCTGCCTAGTGAAAAGCACTCACCTCATAGTTCTCCTTTAAGCATTAAAAATGAAAAAGAGAAGATGATTGGTTGCCATGAACAACTTCTTCAGATTCTGTCTGCTCTATTTATTATGAATTCCCCCCATGATGCATGATGTCTAGTAGCTGCTGTGCTAGTTGGTGATCAGAGCTTCAGCTCAGGGACAGTGTCCTTCAGCTCAGGGACAGTGCCCTGGAGATTTTAGTAAATTTACAAATCTCTCTTGTGTAGACCCCTGATGTCTCCATTAAAACAACCTGTCACATCAAACTACTATCATATAATGGGCAAATCAGTCCCCTTGTGATTGTAAGAAAACTAAACAAAAAAAATTGAAAGAGAAGTTAAAAAATGAATTTAAATGTAATAAAATAAATTTAAAAAAATGTAAAGAGCCACCACTCCAGCCCCCATGATGCATGTATGTAAAAATACAATTGAGTAATGCATATTTGGTATTGCTGTGCACGCCAGAATGATAGGAATAATTCTGGGGCCATTATTTATTGCTAACTCTGAATTGTAGAGTTTTAATGGCTATTAAAGCGCCGCCCATGGACAATATTGTGTATCATAAATTGTCATTGTTTTGCGGGCACACACAATTTGTTGTTATCGATTTACTCACACAAGCTCATCTTTTATATTTTACAAAAGCAAAAAATGGCATTTGATTGTGTTTGTGTGCACTAAAATTAATTTTAGTGTGTATTTACTGAACATATAGAATTGCTTTTTTATTCTACAGGCCCTGACGCTTGAATAAAAAAATACTAAAAAATGCTGCCCTCAAAAGAAGACTCTTAGTACTTACCTCTCTAGTTGGCAGCGAGTTCTCACTTCACTTTTTTAAGAGCTATTGCCTTTGGCAGAATCTTTGTACCCAACACACTTTCTAGAGTTGGATGCCTGCTCCCCCCTTTGTGCACTGGGGTTTCTTCCACCAGCCCCTTTATCATTACTGTCTGGTATAAAGACAAAGGGGCTGGCAGAAGGAACTACAGTGCACAGAGGGGGGTGCAAACTAAATTCCGGCACACTCGGAAGTGTCAGACGCTGAAGGTTCATCTACTTCTTTTTTTAGTTAGATCTATTGTACTGGTCATTACAACATATGTTTTTCCACTGAAGGCAATTACATTGATGATGGTTGATAAAAACATAATGTACCAATAATTGCATTGTACAGTTATCTAGTTTCTGTCATTTGTTCACTGCAATGGTTTTAATGCTATTTCTTGCTCCCAGGATCCTGAACTATTCCCCTGATCTTGACCCTGAGGTGACGGATGATGCCTTTGCTCGTGCCTTTAAAGTTTGGAGTGATGTGGCACCACTAACCTTTACACGAATTTACAACGGGGAACCCGACATAAACATTTTGTTTGGGTCTGACAGTAAGTAAACAACTGAGAAAGTGCCATGGTGCACGGGTAGTTCCTAGACTATGTGTACAGGGATGTTTTTATTCTATATAAGACGCAGAAATAAATACTGAAAGAGAATCAGACTATCTTGATGCCGTTTAGATTGCATGACGATAGACTGAACGTAACACTAGCTATGTAGATTCAACTCTTAGCCTCATATATAAAAGTCTCAGGTCTACTTATCTGAACTTTAGATACAATATGCTTCTGCAGGCTCGAGTACATAAATAAAGGACCCTATATTTCTACAAAGCTCCCTTGTGGCAGCTGCTGATTGCCATTGTAGAGCTGGATTCCACAGCATAAATTAAATATCGGGCACTTTAACCTGTTATCCCTGCCCCCTTTTCTCCATTGTGTCCTTGTTGGCACCGTATGCTGTGCATCCATCGTGCATCCAGGGATAGTGATCTCTTCCTAACTGCATGTAATCATATCACATACAATTACATGCGGTGTGCCAGCATTCTGCTGCTTCCAAATGCAGCCGCTGTCACCCGATCATTAACTTGAATGGGTGACAGTTGCCGCTTGTAAACTGCAGATTAGGGATTTCTGCCGCAGGAATTGCTAATCGCACCTAAAATATCGGTGTGAATAGAGATTCAGCCGACAATACACTAAGGGGTGTATTTATAAACAATTTGCAGAGCCATTCATCTTGCAAAATTGCATGTACATTTGTTTTGTGCAAATGGAGGCAAAAAGGAACAATACCTTGTTGTTTGTTTTGTTTTTATTCTACTTTCCTTTTTACTTGTCATTGCAAAAGAGAGAAAAGCAGGACTGAAAACGGAATGCAGGTTGAATTATAACAGAGTCTGTGTTTTTCATTTCATTCTTACTGACTGCAGTTGAAAAGAAATTAGCATTAGCAGGATCAAAACTGTAACATGCTAAAACCGTTAAGAAATTGTGAAAGAAAGTAGAGAAATTAAGCTTGAGGGATTTGTAATTCTGTTCAATTTGCTTTATGCGCCATGCAATTCAGGTGACACCGCTCGTTCCTATGTTCTGCATTACCTGTCAGTTAATTGGAATATGATTAAGGTAAATCTAAACCCAAAAACAAAAATGTAATATATTACCGTTTACCAGTCCTTAGATGTGGTGGCTGCATTAGGTTGTTTTTTTTTAGACCAAGTACAATGTCTGCAAGTGAAGAAAATATCTGTGGCCCTGTAACATCTTGTGCACTGAACTGGAATCTCAAACAATGTTATCTGCCTTTCCAGTTCTCTCTGAACTACAGAACAGAAGAGTTGTTTTGTAGTCCTAACACAGCATTTCTCAACTTTGTTTTAGTCACGGCACAATGTAAAAATATGCAACATCTTGAGGCACCCCAGGCTAAAATGTCATAGATTTTAAAGGGGGACCCCATGCAAAAAAAACCTTTACATCGAAGTGTCCCTTTTAAATCAAGATTTCCCCTCCTGCAAAGAGGGCTTTGCATCAGTAGCCCCCTTCCACATCTGAAGCCCCACTTCTATATCAGAGTCCCCCTTTCACATCAGGAGCCCCCTACACCTCAGTCTTCATTCCCCGTTCACATCAGAGTTACCTTTCACATCAGTAGCCCCCCTTTCACATCAGAAGCCCAACTTTCATATCGGAGTCCCCCCTTTCAAATCAGAGCTCCCCTTTTACATCAGGAGCCCCATTTATATCAATCATCTTTCCCCCCTTAACTATCACAGACCCACTACCACAACATTTTGAGGCACCTCTGAAGAGGCCAGGAGGCACAGCAGTGTGCCACAGCAACCTGGTTGGGAAAGGCTGTCCTAACACACCTACTGTCCAGGGGTGACAACACTGCTCCTCCATAGTGAATATTGTCACCCTAGGACCATGTGTGACCGCCAGTAACCGAATGTGTTACTGGCAGGCTCACAGGGTAAAAAATAGCAAAAAAAATCCCTGAAGAATTGAAAACTAATGCAGACACCACATCTAAGGACTTACCAGCTGCAATATACCTTACTAGCTGCAATATATTCTATTTTTGTTTTTGTGTTTAGGTACCTTTAAGCGGTGTGTTATTATGTGGATTTGTTACCTATAATATAGGAAATCTTCACTTTGAATTCAGTTCCACTTTAATTTGTTTCTGCATTACATAGCACCAACTGGCTGTGCCTTTCTTTTTGGAGAGTATATTTTTTTCATGGGATTTAGTTATAATAACTCTACACAAAGCAAATGAAAATTAGGTTATACATAAAAGATTTTATTATAATGCTAATATTGCTTTTTGGTTAGATTGTCCATGGGTCCTATTCAGCTCCTTGGTATAGCTGCATGCTTGAGCTTATACCAAAAAGTGTTACTGCCTCACACATTAATATGTTGTTGAGCAAGTTAATTACTGAGGTTATATGTGAGTTAATTGATTCCCGCACGGGTGAATGTTTATTTTTCAGAGATTTGTTTTGCACGAACAGCCAACCAAATGCAAACCCTGCAGGCATTGCGCTGTAATAGAAATACTGGGTCTCATGTATAAGCGTGTCTGCAAAGTGTCTGAAAGGAAAGTGTTCTGTCTATACAGAAACCATTTCCTTACTTTTCCTATCCTATCCTAACCTATCCTAACCTGCACTGTATAATGATCGGTGCAATACAAAGCAAATGTCCATCAGAATTCATCTTCACTGATCTCATTTCACTTATCTGAAAGCCGATTAATTGCTACGGGTTTACTGTGGTCTGCACATTGTCAAAGCTATACATCCTCAGGAAGGCCATATCTGTTAACCAGTTGTGGGAATATTGTAGTTCACATCAACCCATGGATTACTGGATTAGCATAAAACAACTACCATGAACATTTTGCATAATATAAAGCTGTGTTTTGCACATGCATACTAAAGATACAAGTCTGCATTAAATTGCTCATGCAGGTCACATAAATGGGTTTTAGCTAGCCTGACATGGCTTGAATTTTGAAATATTCCTGGCTGTACCACTTGGCTTGACAAAAGTCGATTTGAACATTGAAGTAGTTGGGTAGAAAACGGTTGGCCAAACAATGACTATCAGATTGTTTGGGTATTTAGGCAGCTGCCGTTGCCAGCTGCCTGAATACAATAGCTTGCAGTGCAAGGGCTGAATGTGAGAGATCTACATGTGTATAGCTAACCTCACTTTTTAAAGTGCCCTCTTTTCCTTTGCTGAAACGCTGCATTAAACTTAAAAACATCAACAACAAAAAATACATGCAGTTAGTTAATACTCACCTTTCCCTGGGCTTTTGTAGTGCAGGGGGTGAGGTCATCAACCTACTGACGAGATTCCAGAGAATGCAGAGTAGTCAAAATCTTGTGAGAAAATGCTGCAGCACAGTGTAGTACGGTAGCATCTGCTCAGTGAGATTTGAGCTACTCGACCTTCCTTGGGATCTTGTTGGAAGAATGATAACATCACCTTAACCTAGGTATCGTTGGCAGAAGCCCGGGGAAAGGTAAGTACACTATCTGATTGTATATTCCAACGTGTGTTTTTTTTTCAGTTTCATTCAGCATTTTACCTGCACTTTACTGTCTAGGTGCAAGGTCTACTTTATTGCCTCCCCAGCAACACATAACCCCCATTTCTTTCCCTCCCCCACTGCTCCCTTCAGCTGTCAGGAGTGCGAAGAAAATGCCCAGTATGGGGAAACATGTGACTTACTCCCCTTGCTTAATAACCAACCTGGCTCTGTCACATGGGGGTGGGGAAGGATTCCTCAGCACAAAATAAGCTCCAACTGGAGTAACTTCGAGCTCACATGTGGCTTCCATTCCATTCTCTCTCTGCAGCTGAATGAAGTGTCGGGGAAGTGAAGGAAAGGTGGGAAGGTGCAGCTGATTAGAAGACATTAAAGTAGACCTCTTACTGTGCACTGTATGGGAAAAGTACAGGTTTGCTGTAAAAAGTTATATTTCTATTGCATACAAGACACCTATTTACAAAAGACATCTTTCATACAGATCATGGCGATCCATACCCTTTTGATGGGAAGGATGGACTTCTAGCTCATGCCTATCCACCAGGCGCTGGCGTGTATGGAGATGCCCATTTTGATGATGATGAATTCTGGACCCTTGGGACTGGAGTGGGTAAGTGCTGAGTACTGAAGCCATATATGTTAAAAGTGTTGTAAAAGAAGGAATAATTATGGAATTATTCAGAAAGGCAGTGCAAAGAGCCGTCACTCAAGTAAAAAAATGATTTTAATTTTAAAATTATATTATTTATAGAACATGGTGGGCTAAATCAGGCCCTGGCTTCTTTTATGTCTTCGATATACCAGCGAACAGATCTCCCTGTCATAACGCCCAACCTTGTTGCTATCCTCCTTGGCATCTTGAGTGTCCCCATCCGCCTCTGTATTTTCTATCTCCTTCTAAAGTATAAAATAAATAATCCAACACGGAGAGTGGGAACCCCTGGTAAAAGTCACAGGAAGTGTGCAGACTCAGGAATTCAGCACTCTCCAGTTTTTCCCAAGAGACATAAGAAACTATTTAACTTCCCAGAATTTACCAAACACTGAAAGAGATGTTTTTAATTTCACTGCCCCTGTAATCCATACCAACTAATAACATTTCATTTAATTTAGTCAGATCCATTAGTTTGAAAAACCTCATGGAGTAAACCTACCGCTAGTGTTTGCAGCTTAGTGAAGGAACCCATTTAATGTCTTCACGCCCACAACCTGTATCCAAACATCAATATGTTTAGTACGTTATAATACATTTAAAAAATCGAAAAAAAATTACAAATGCATTTGAAATTTTTCTGCATTTGACAGCTTATTTAAAAAAGAGCAGTATTTGTTTAAAAAAATCATTTGATCAAATAACAGCCTTATATGTCCTTAAAAGATAAATAAAAAAGGATTTAGTTATGGTAATTAGTCATTGTCAATTTATCTGACACATGCTGATGCTGATAAATTTGACCTGGGCATCAATGACTTTTAGTTGTGAAAGGGCTGAATTTACTGTTAGATAATACAAGGTACAAACCAGTCCTGTGTAATTAAGCCAGTTCATTATATATAAGAATACAATAATTAAAATATAAGAGGGTAATGTACAACAGTGGTTAACCATCAGCTGGAAAATGTGAAATAATCAGCTAAAGAATGGAAAAGTTTTATATGGTGTCTCATTCTCTCTTTTGTCAGTGGTGAAGACTCATTTTGGTAATGCAGATGGCGCACTGTGTCATTTTCCATTCACATTTGACGGTCAGTCCTATTCCTCCTGTACAAGTGCCGGGCGATCAGATGGCCACCTCTGGTGCAGTACAACATCCAACTTTGACAAAGACAAAAAATACGGCTTCTGCCCAAGCGAGTGTAAGTATCAAGTAATCACAATTGATATACTGTAGGTAAATTGACTCTGTCGCTAAAATCAAAGTTTTAATAAACCTGAAGAAAGTAAGTACTGTACTTGCCAGTTGCCACTCGTACACCACAGAATGCCCCTGGGATGAATAGGAATTGCCAACTGAAGTCTCCTCAGAAACAGACACATTCAGGAGTGTTAGAACCATTCCGTGCCGATTGTTTTTTCCTGCTAGCCACTAAACGTAGGAGGTAAAGGGGAACTATGGGGTTAAGGCTCCCGATCTACTAAGCCGACCTGTGACAGTCTCATTGTCACAGCTCGGCTATAACTATGAGGTGAGTGAAAAGCACTCACCTCATAGTTCTCCTTTAAAGCTTAACAATGCACTCAAGTACCCTAAATATTAACACAAATGTAGCTTTTTGTGTAACACTCGGCTGTAGAGCTTCAAATCAACTCTAAATTCATGCTGACACTGTCCTTCCTTCTGGAGGGTGGCTACTTTAATATAACATATTAAATACTATATTTATATACATATATTTATATAGTATATTAATATACATTAATATACTATAAAGTAGCCATCAGTCCAAACTCGCTTCCTTAAAGGAGAACTATGAGGTGAGTGATTTCCTCTCACCTCATAGTTCTCCTTTAAAGCTTAACAATGCACTCAAGTACCCTAACTATTAACACAAATGTAGCTTTTTGTGTAACACTCGGCTGTAGAGCTTCAAATCAACTCTAAATTCATGCTGCCACTGTCCTTCCTTCTGAAAGGTGGCTACTTTTGTTCCCCATAGTTCCTGTGTGTGTTATAAAGTAGCCACTGCTCCAAGCTCACTCCCATAATGGACTACAATTTCACATTTAGTTTACTCATCTGTATTGAGATTGTATTCCTTTAAAGGAGAACTATGGGGTCAGTGTTTTTCCCCATAGTTCTCCTTAGGGTAACGGGAGGACACAAACTAGCGTCCTCCCGTTACCCTAAGGAGAACTATGGGGAAAAACACTGACCCCATAGTTCTCCTTTAAAGGAATACAATCTCAATACAGATTAGTAAACTAAATGTGAAATTGTAGTCCATTATGGGAGTGAGCTTGGAGCAGTGGCTACTTTATAACACACACAGGAACTATGGGGAACAAAAGTAGCCACCTTTCAGAAGGAAGGACAGTGTCAGCACCAATTCAGAGATGATTTGAGGCTATACAGCCGAGTGATACACAAATAAGATACATTTTTGTTAATAGTTAAGGTACTTGTGTGCATTTTTAAGGTGTAGTGACACCTAAAGAGAGGTTATGGTTTTATTTCTTCCCTACACTTTACAGAACAGGAAAACAGCGTTTTGGCTATACATACTTTAAAGTGAATCTCACTCTTAAAGTGAACTTTTGCTTTGTCTATGTAGGGCAATGCAACATATTTGTTCTAGAGTCTGGTCCCCCAAGAGAAGCTTTCCTTCGCTCAATTCAGCTGCAAGGAATGATGGAAATATCCATTACATCTAAGTATGAAAGAACATATGAAAACTCTGGTGCTTGTTGATTTGTCCAGCACTATCAAATGAGGGCAAGGAGACAGTTACCCCCTGTGTGAGCCCTGGAAATCTGACCAGAGCTTACACATGGCTGTATTTCCTCACTCTCGGTGGCTAAAAAGAGTGGCAGGAGAGTAGAGGAAAGGTCTTAAGTGGTGTATACAGGGTTCTATTTTTTCTGTTCAACCCACAGGCTGAATGAAAAAAAAATAGAACAGATTACTCCATCAATGATTATGAGCATATATGGATGAATCCCCTGCTGTTTACAGTGTTCTGACGGCAGCCAGCTGATTGGCTACTAGAGAATTTTCCAACCAGCTCCTTCGATTACCTGATCGAGGGATGTTTGCCAGAATGGTATCAACTGCGGCACCCATAGTACAAATTTCAGATGGTTCATCAAGAAGCTGCCGAAATTTTAACCGTGTGTACCCGACTTTACAATGTTGCAGGTTAGTTTAATTTGTATGATATGCTAATTACTTATAGTAAGGAATCGTTGCAATACCCTTACCTACGATTTCTACTGTCTCCTCAGTGCTATACACATATGATGGAAACGGTGAAGGTCAGCCCTGTGTCTTCCCATTTATTTTTGAGGGGAAATCCTATTCTTCATGTACTACTGAAGGGCGTTCAGATGGATATCGCTGGTGCAGTACCACAGCCAATTTTGACAAAGATGTTAAATACGGTTTCTGTCCCAACAGAGGTAAAGACCCGTTATGTTGATGTATGGCTCGCATTATGCTAAATATGTGTAAAATATAGTGCTTATACCAAACTTGTCATACCCTATGTCAAACTGGATTTATATAGTAGGCACGAAACTCTGCTTTCCACTCACAGACACAGCTGTTGTTGGCGGTAACTCACAAGGCGACCCTTGCATTTTCCCCTTTACGTTCCTGGGGGCAACCTACAACCAGTGCACCACCGAAGGTCGACAGGATGGGAAGTCGTGGTGTGCTACTACATCCAGCTATGACCGCGACAGAAAATGGGGATTCTGCTCAGACAAAGGTACACAGAACACATTTGTAGTATGTGATAAGAACTACAGATATATCATACTAAACATTTCCCATAATGCATTTTAAAAGATTTGTCTATGTGCACATATTATTTCTCTTGGGATCAGAATGTGTGGCGCTCCAGTATCTCTGCCTGTCATGGCTTGTATTGTAGCTTGTGCTACAAATAGATTATATTTATTTCCGTTGTTAAAGGAAACCTGTCATAAGAAAAACATGGAGGCTGCTAATGCTGACCTATCCTTCTAAAAAAATGCTAGGTTTCCAGGCTGTCATGCTGAGCCTTTGGCTTCAATGCTTTGACACTTTTTATTAAAATTGTGCAGATAAGGGCTTTAGCACCTCACTGCTGTGCAGAGACCTTGAATTGAGTGTGCACTTTGTACACTGCCAATAAAGTTTACCAAAACATTAAACAGTGCCTCGACAAGGGTATTGTCTACCTTTCTTCAAGGGTCAATTAACAGCACAGACTTCCATATCAATCCCCCTTCTAATTAATTGACACAAAAGTAGTATTGGATTTTAGTGGCCACAGCAGCCATTTTGTTAAGTATAAAGCCATATAACAATTCTTTACAAAAATAACTGACAACGGCAATTGAGGTCCTTGAAGGCCATCCCACAACAAACCAACTACGCAGTATCTGCCTACACGGCCCCCAGCCACACGACACCGCCTCGGGGACTTTGCAGTATGGTAGCAGACACTAGATGACTTAAAGATCCGACCCGTTGACAAAAGAGGATGCCATAGCTGAGACAGCCCCCGCTCCTAATTAAACTTCCACTGCATAGATTGCTCCTCAAGGACCCCAATACCCTGCCCGGCTGCAGCAACGTTAACAATAAAACAAAACAAAATTAAGTCAGAGAATGCATATATAGAACAAAAGAAATACCACAAAACAAAGAGGGTGGCAGGGTGGGTCGCTGCTTCCACGCTGCTGACTCCGTCTGGATCTGGAACTTTCTTTCCTCAAGGATCCACCTACACTCCTCCTCTACACACCCCTGACCAAATAGGTAAGTGTCCCATCGTAACCTCCCTTATTGCCAGGCATAAATTAACCCTCACAGGACCCCCTTTTTTCCTTTTCAAACCCCTGTCATGTAGGCCTTACACAGACGCCCCCGTCTGCTGTTCCAGGCCTGCCTTGTGTAACAACAAGAGACACCGCTACAGACCGCTGCCATTCAGCAGCCACCAGCTGCACATAAAACAGAGTGTTTTGCATGCGGCCGGTGTGACCAAGCACTGAAACTTGGTGTCTGTGTTAAGTAACCCCTTTCCTTTGCCAACACAGTGCAGAACTGCATGAAAAACACACAAAAAATGCATGAAAATGCAGATGCACAAATGTGAATGGAGTAGACAGAGAGACAGCACAATTAGCAATAATGAAGTGCAGTAAACTGTAATATCTAATCAAATATATTGCTATAGTTTATTATAACCTGACCATCTGCTATGGATTACAGCACTTTGCATACGTTCTTTGCTTTTTGTGCTTCCTTATTGATCAAACCTGAATGACTTTAACGATCCTGTGATCTGATACCCGATACCCACATCTAATCATCATTTTGCTTATGATTTATTTCATACAGGTTACAGCCTCTTCCTGGTGGCAGCGCATGAATTTGGTCATGCATTAGGTCTTGAGCACAGCAGTATCCAAGATGCATTAATGTATCCTAACTACAGGTATGAGAGCGACTTCCACCTTCACCCTGACGACATTGAAGGGATCCAGTATTTGTATGGTAAGGAATATAAATTGCCTTGCAGAACCCTGAAACACTGGTTTCTTGTTTGTTTATCCTGATTTACACTATTAGGGCAAAATAGGTCACTCAGGGTGATTAAAATCTCTTTTTCACTCACTTCTAAAAGATTTTTGACGACAACCGTGCTGTTGCCTGGTAACCTGTGAGTGAGACCTGGCTGGGAAAGAAACAGGCAAGCCGAGTACATTGTTAAGTGATGAGAGGGGTGAAAGAATTAGGCCTGTTATTAGAAAACACAAATATATTGCATGTGCACAACAGCAGACTTCTATTTAAAGATGACTTATCACCTATACAAAACAGCACAAGACTTTCAGCTAAACACAAAGCCATTTTGTCACTAGCACAGACAGAGCTTTCACCGTTCAAAGGCGTTAAGAAGGTCATTTGATTATGCAAACAAACTCCAGATGCCAAGCAATTTTATTTTACATTATGTGCAGAAATTGTACACTAGTCCTGCCTGAGCATTATTTTTGGTGCACCCATCAGACATGCCTTCCCCTTACTACATTGCCATCTTTATCTTACGATACAATAGCAGCATGCACGCCTGCTTTATAACATGATTACTTTGGAGTTTTTTGGGAAGGAAAATGGTGACAGTCAGCATTACAAATAATGTTTTTCAGTCTTAGGCTGAGCCTCCACCGCCCTCTGAAAAGCAATCCATGGTGGATCACTTTTCAGATGGTGGTAGAGCAGCACCTGGTTGGCATTCAGGAGGCCATGGAAAGTTGGAAGGGTGTTGTCCAAAGTTGCAGCGCTCACGGGGGGGGG